TTAAATGGTATTGCTGGTATGTTAAGATATCTTTGTGACCTTGTATAAACCCTATGCCCCGTCCTGCGCCCCGAGACCCTCAGAGACCTGCCTGAGGAGATCAGGGTTGCAAAATCTGTTTTTTTAGGTCAATGTTGTATTATTTGTTTCATTTATTCTTAATCTATGTATTGTATAGTAATAATGAATAAAAACGTAATGTATTGAACACATTCCGAAACAAAGCAGATAAGCAGAACAAGACTCAGACATAATACTAATTGTTGTTGAAACCTTTTGCGCTGTTGCAGCAAAATGGAAACTGTGTTAATTATTCTGTTCCAACTGGCCACTGGAATCAGGTAATATAAGTTGAAGTTCAATTACAGTTTTAAAAATAGTTTAACATTCTTTATTAAACTGCTTCAAATTATTTGTAGTATCAACCAATTGGTCTCCATAGACAATACTAAAATTAAAATAGTTTTTAAACTACTGACAAGTTTTCTGAAACCGAGCTTATGAACAATAGAGTAAAGGTTGCTGGTTAAGCCAGGATCAATATATTTGTTGAAGTTTTTATTGTGTGCATAATAAATGTGTTAAATTAATTGAGCAATTATTTAAAAGTATAATGTTGCAATTTCTTTAAAATAGGTCATTACAGTTACAAAATAGGTGTTGTTTTCCAAGGGCCTCTCTTTCACAGGCACTTTGAATCATAACACTTCCAAGTCCTACAGAGATCAGTATCACTTTGTGTTGCAAGCCAAATCCAGGGGTTCTACTCGAGCCCAATTTTAAATACCATAAAGAAAAGTATTGAACCCAGCTCGAGCTAAATGTGAAATGTATTTAATTAATGTGCAAGTGTTTTGATTTATTTAAAATGTTCCAGTCTAGCTTCCTTCGAGTTTAGTGTAAACAACAGATTGGTTCTCATAACATTCTCACTGCTGTGCTGTCCCAAATGTTTGAAACCTTGGGCAGACAAGCACACACACACACACACTTTGGATGAGTAATCACTTCATCCAAATTGTAAATTGTTGCCTTCTTTAAAGTTATTAGTAATTCAAGATTAATTATTAAATTAAATTAGGTACATAACATATAATAAACAAAATAACTTTGACTTGATCATTTTGTTCACAACATTAGACCTTGTCCTCTAATCTCTACTAGAATAAGATAAGTGTGCATGTTTGGGTGTGGAACACTCCTGTGATGTACCTAATCTTCTTATCCTTTTCATTACAGAGCTGGGGAAATGGTGTATTGCTTAGATTCGGATCCGTGCAAAGTCCAATTATGACTGACTTTAGTTCTAATGTTAATTTGATTTCAACCCATAAGGAATTATTTAGATTAACTCAACATTTCACATGATGGATTAGTGCTCCACATTTTTCCCACTAATTTGTTGTGCAATTAGGCCAATGGTAAAGAGAGACATTGATGACCTTGTGTCCCTTTTGTTGGTACGTGGTTCCATTCTGTCTATGGCCTTGGACGATTTCACTAAGAATCACCCAGTTCTGACAGTCCGGCTGAGTGCAGTCACAGAGATGCTATGGCTGCTCTACATGACATTAATGGTCTGGTCCGAGAATGGACACCATTACCTGCTTCCAGAGACAATGCCGCTCCTCAAACTGAACAATACTGTCTCACGTGGGCCACTCCCCCCACCAAGCCATGAACTGAAAGCTTGACATCTGCTTTGAACACCTGGAAGCCTCCCGGTCACACCAGCACCAACCCTTGGGTCAGTCAGATGGGACTAACGGCTTAACTTAGGGCATTTGGTTCAGAAATATGACTCTCGTTACCGCAGAGTGGGTTGTTTTTTTAAGGCTATTCATACTGCTATGCAGAGGATGCCTGTAGGTTGGCAAGCTGTTAAAAGCCCCTACTATTTTTTAAAATAGGCCTAAATGTCAGGGGCCTCTTAATGTCTAGTTCTACATGTATTCACATTATATGGACAATGTTTCCACCTGGTGAAACTGAAGGCTGCACGGTACTCAGGCTACAATACGACCATTCTGTTCTGCTCTAACGATTCAATTGATAGATTCTACATCAAAACAATTAGCTTTTATTGTTTCCAATGATAACGTCATTTTAAGTGGAGGAATGCAAACCAGTTTTCAAATGTAAGGTTTTGAATGTGTTTGACATTTCTCAGTAAAAACACCCTCAGACACCCACTATCATTCATGCTATGCCTTCAGTAGTGACTCAGATGTTAAGGGGAAGAAGCTTTTCCTCCCAAATCAGATATGCTTTGTTTTTTAACAAAGGTATGCATTTCCTGCATAATATATGTTTCTCACAATTGTTTGTTTTTTTGTAAGCTGCACACAGGTGATACTGAGTCTTCTCGATTAATAGATTACACCATGCTTAAATAGACTCCTAAGTTATTATTTCATATGAGACATATGTAAGAAAAGGGAGGGAAGAGTCAATTATATTGAGTAATTGATTTTATATTGGAACATTTATTTCTCAAACCTGTTTTATGGAAGAGGAAAATATTTCTGATAAACTAATATGTTATCAAACGGTAAATGGTGAATTAATATAACATTTAGAATCATTGAGAAGGGGTGATATCCGCAGGGACTAGCTCACCTTTAAATTACAATAACATTTCTCTACTTTGGACTGATGAGTTTATGATTCTTGCATGTTAAATGACTAACACAAACCTTACATTTATGCATGTGCATGTCTCAGGAAGGCTCCCAAATAATTCTGAGGGGCCTATCCTATTTTTGTATTTAAATGATAATGTGCTAATCCATTACCTTGAGTTGTCTGCACTCAGGAAAACATCCCTATCAAGTGTTAACCCAATAACTACAGTAGGACAGCTCTGAAGGCCAAGGGTCAGAGAGAGAGAGCTACGTGGGTCCACGCCAGCCACTGCAAGGTCCTAGTCACCAACAAAAGTAGATGACAACAAGTGATGTGTCCTAATCACCAACAAAAGTAGATGACAACAAGTGATGTGTCCTAATCACCAACTTGCACTACATACACCAAAACACACTACACACAAGGTATCACAAGCGAGTGCCAGCTGAGCGGTTCCATATGCTCTCTGGTTCCTCGTTTGTGTTACCGGTGTGCGGAGTCTGACTGTCCGTGTCACAAAATCGACCGAAGGAATACACACACACACACACACCCCATGGAGCATTCCCACCTCGTGATGACGGCTCGCCTGGGAAAACGACAACGCAACCGTGAGCAATACAACTGGCCTGGCCCAGTGATGTGGGGTTTAGCTCGCCACAAGATTACGTTTGGTTGTGCGGCGACAAGCTCTATCAAGTTCTGGCTCCCCTCTGGATAGGTACATGCACTCTAGTGGATTTGAATCCAGCAATCAGGCTTAACAACACTACTCTTTAATGTATTATCCATGCATAGAAAGACCTACAATGATGTTTCAAGTACTGGATTAATTTCAGTTTTGGCCCAAAACAAATATTTATAATATTTCATATAACAATTATGTAGCATATTTGATCCTCAAATTAGAGAAGTATAATTTAAAGAAATTGATATTATACATTCAACATTAGATAAACACAGAAGAATCCTTTCCAAGTACCATAAGTAGATGCTCAGGTAAGTATGGCTAATAGGAATACTTGATAGACTTAATTTGGTACAGATCAGTGGTAGCATTTACAAATGTAATAATTCAAGGTTTAAAACTGTTTAATCCTTCCTTTCCAGGTTTTTACAAACGTCTTTGAATATTTGCCTAACTTTTCCTTTTCAGATTTTGAACAATGTACTTGACTAAAATGAATGTATTGATTTCACTAAGCGTATTTAAGTAAACGTAAAAGTAATCCTAAAATTGAGGACACTGCACTTTTGCAGATTACAGATTGATCAAATCACCAGTGTGAATTCTATACTCTAACTGTGAATTTGTAGCTGGATCTCTTACGATCCTGAGTTTTAAAATGCTTTTGACTAGTGATTGCCTTGAAGTAAATCTTTAAAGCGGCAAGCTGGTTTTGATTTTATAGTTTGATGAATGAAATTAACTAATGGTAAATGATAAAAGATATTAGTTTAAAAACAAATATTTAGCCATGGTGCACCTGTGTTTTATGTGTGTTCATTATTATGCTTTTGACAAAAGATGATCAAACACTGATGAGAGATGATTTTTCCTATTATGATTGGCTGTATCAATCATTGTGATTGAATGTTTCAATCTTAATGTGATTGTTATTGATGTAATTGATGTTGTGTAAGTCCACACTCAAATCTGAAGATTCCCATTGATTTAAGTATTGAACTAAATATTATTAGACTAAGGGTTTTAGATTATCAAAATTGATAAAAAGGAAGAAACTGTTGTGGAATATTTTCCAAGGCCCATAACTTTGACCCAGTGTATCAGTTCAAACTGTCCTGACTGAGCACAGGCACCTGTAACCTTGGCTGCTGTGCTCTCAGTGTTTTGTCTCCCTGTTCCTGCCTGTTGGCGTCAGCTGATAGAGGTGTTATCATTCTATCTTGTTATGCAGCATGTTGATGATGCTCTCTGAACTAGCTAAATACATGGGTCTGGGGTAGAGTTCTTCAGAATTGATGTGGCAACTCTACCGTGAAGTCAGAACCTCTGACTCTTGGACTTGTGATGTGAATCCTCCGGCCGTTAACTCCAAATAAACCATCATGTGTTTGACATCAAAGCTACTGCTCTTCCCGTGTCTCCTTCCTGAGTCGGTGACTCCCACTACATAGCTACACAGAAGTTTCCTCTACAATATTCACTTGTATTATTATTATTTTACTGGCCAGCCATCACTGCACTCTTGGCTCATTACCATTGGATACTCCCTTCTTTTCTTTTTTTTACAAAACAGGTTGTTGGTGCATTCCACATGTGTGAATGTTGAGTGAAGTGTTACGCCCAGGCCTAGGGGAACCTAGGCGCAGCACAAAGTTGCACTCTCCCCACTTTTCCCACTCCCAAGAACATGGACGCCAAGGCAGAGAAAAAGTTTGGTAATTTAATTACCAAATCAGAATCACAAAAACATGCTGGAAGTCTGTTTACAAAAATAACAAACAGGAGTAACAAAACCACTAAACGAACTAACCTTTAACACAAAAATCTTACCTAACAAATGAGAAAAACAAACGTACAGGCTTCTTCCCATCTCTAACATTAAACAGGAGAAAACGAATTAACCAAAGAAAAGGGTTTTGCACTCCTGTTGGTGCATTCCACATGTGTGAATGTTGAGTGAAGTTTGAAGGTACGCCATGACAAACAAATACATATAGCCTACAGATGGTAAGTGACGTGTTAATGGAGGAAATGCAAGAAAACTAAAATAAAGGAATGGGCTTACATAATTATTTACAAAATATGGATTGAATATTGGAAATTACATTGTTATATATAGAAGTAAACATGTATAAGCAGGTTAGAAAAATACAGTTACAAGTACAAAACTGTAACTCTTATATGGTTGATTTACTTATATTCTTCTCTGGTGTCAGTTGTGTGACAATTGTATTATACAGTATAGACATTGTTGTATTGAATTTGCGATAATTATATTCCCTTTATTCTTCTTCCCACATCCATTTCAGTCCAATATACTGTGGTGCCACGAATGGGCGTCGCCTGTTTTTTCTTTAGCCCCGGACAAATTCTCCCTCAATCATATAATTATAATTAACCGTACTTTACCTAGAGGACGGCAGGACTGTAATTTCCCGTGTTCAGTGAATGCAACAGAGGCAAGACACCATACTATATTATTGTATATTTTGCTTTAGTAAGTAGTAATACCGCAGTGTAATGTAGATGTACTAGTGTAAGTACAAAACCAAAGTACTGCTTGGTTGCTTGAGAATTTACCAAGGGATCAATAAAGCGTTATCTTCTTCCTATAATAATGCATGTTAAAATATTTCATTATTATATTTTGTATCATTTGTCTGAATCTTCTTAGTAGCTAAAGCAATCAAACTATAACCTGTTGTTTTGTAGCTAATGAGTGTTTTGTTCAGCTGCTTGTGTAGATAACTCAGTTATGTGTTTGTTAATATTTGCAGGGGAAAGCTTCAGGAGCCTTTCCTACCAGTTCCGAGTGGAGTGTCAACCATCCGGCAATTCGTTCCTGAGACCTGTACAGCCATTTACGAGGTTTTAAAAGAGAAATACCTGAAGGTATGTGTGGATACTTACTGGTTTTACTGTGCAAACTCTATGTAATACAGTGAGGTCTGTAGGCATTTGAACAGCAAATGTTTGGTTTGCCATATGAAACACGGGTCTTAAAAAATATATGTTTTGTTTTTCAGTGCCCAGACACAGTGGAAGAGTGGCAGCAAGTAGCTGATGGATTCCAGGCTCAGTGGGACTTCCCAAACTGCCTAGGTGCCCTGGATGGGAAACACATCAACATCCGCCCGCCTCCAGGAACTGGATCAACCTACTTCAACTACAAACATACATTTTCAATAGTGCTAATGGCACTGGTCGACAGCAACTACAAGTTCTTGTATGTAGATGTAGGTTGTAATGGGAGGATTTCAGATGGTGGTGTGTTTGGTGGATGCTCACTACAGGATGCCTTGGAGAATAAGACATTCAACATCCCTGCACCTGCACCACTTCCTGCTTCTGACCAGGCGGTTTGTTACCACATTGTGGCAGATGAGGCATTTCCCCTGAAAGAGTACCTCATGAAGCCCTATCCGAACCGCAGGCTAGCTGTAGAGCAACGCATCTTCAACTACAGGCTGTCACAGGCTCGGAGGGTGGTAGAAAAGACTAGGAAGTACAGAAACACGTAACTCTGGATTTGTTTTAATCTTTGAGGTGCAATAAACGACACAGCAGCTTTTTGTCATGTTAAAACTATTATTTTCTGCCTCGCTCATGAGAGTAACAGCTGCCAAAATTACAGCCTCGCCTACTGATTTTAATGTAACCATATATCGAGCCCGATTGTCGATTTCAAATGTGTGCTCTAAAATGATATTTATAAATGACTATTATCATTATTATAAGCAAGACAATAAATGGCAAAGATATGTAGAAAATAAACGTATTTAAGATACGTTCATAACGAACGTAACGTTGGAGAAAATACGTTTCTTGCTAAACGTAATTGAGAATGCAGTTTAGTTCTGTGGGAACGTAATTTTTAGGAGACAGGGTTGCTCAGCCTGTGGTGCTCAAAAAGGCAAAACAAATACTCAACAGAAATATTTATTTTCAGAAATCCTTACGCTGTTACTTAAGGAGCCAGGAACTAGGAAAAAAGCCTCTCTTCCTTGAGTAGATGAACACGTACTTCTGCGCGGTGATATGTTTAGTGGGTGTTTGGTAGTTAGTAAATAGTTCCTGAAAGCTGCTCACGACAAAGTCTGTGGATTATTTGAGTAACTAGGTTAGGATTTTTGGAAAGAGACATTCCTGTCAAGTTTTTCAAAATTATTTGTATCGCTTTGAGCACCACAAGTTGAGTGCCATCCAGTTCCATTCAAGAGTAAGCAGACATCCCCATACCTCTAAAAACGTGCATACAAAAGCTAGAGTCTAAACACTGTCCCTTTAAGTCCAAGATGATAAGGCCTAATTCAATAATAACCCTTCTTATCTCTCTTCAAAGTGAGCAGACATCCTGAACAAAATGATGAAAGCGAGGATGATTTCCGTTCACATTCAGGAGTCGATGCTGAAGGAAGACAAGACGAGACAGAGAGAGGAGAGCTTCCTGTTCCTCACCATCAACTCAATGATGGAAGCTGCCATGGAGGGGGAAACCTGAAGCTCCTGAACGCACCTTGTGTGAAACCAGGCAGAAAAGACTCTGGAGCAGATGGAGACTGTTTGCAATCACACAAGTCAGATTTTCCAACGCTACAAAAGAGTCACGAGATCAGACAGCAGCTTGATAGGAACTCAGAGGAGCCCATGCAGCTTTTACACACCAGAGGGAAACACTCGGAACATTTGGGAACACACGAGATAAACCATGTGTTAGAGCAATCCACAAAGAAAACACTGGAGGTGAATGAGACTGTCTGGGGAACACAGAAAACTAAAGAAAGCCTTAGAAATAGAGTCAAACATGTGGAAGCAGAAGAACATTTGTGTAGTTCTGATGTAAAGTCACTTCCTGTTTCCTCTTCTTCTTATTCACTTACAAACTTGAAAGGACACGAGCCGATTAAAGTTTCCATGCAGCCATCCATTAAGTGTAACAACTCTCCAAAACGATGCAGAAAATCCAACAATTCGATGAAAGACGGAGAGACCATGCAACATGTTGTGACTGCAGATTGCACACAAACTGTGAGAAAAGGAGGGGAAAGTCCTGAAGATCGAGGACAGTCTGCAAAGAGCAGGGACAGAGACAGAAGAGCGCCATGGAAGTGATGAAATGACAGGGATAATATCTGTATCTTTGTCATAACTAAGTGGCTTGGATTTTTTTTATATTTTGATATGTTAATGCTTTTTAAATAGAGCATTTATAATAAACTTTGAATACAAGGCTTTTTTTGTTTACGTGAATGCAGTCAAAGAGATTTCTAACTAGACTTCAGAGACGTTGCATGAGAATTGAAAGGCTGGTGCGTGTACCTTTAAGATTAAGAACGAAACTGAAAGTATTTATTCAGTTCGTCGGTGTCGGTAATCTGCAAGCAAATAAAGGAACCCAAACAGCAACACCGCAGAAATGGTTGTGAAAATCTTCATTAGAAACGAGACGGGTCTGTTATATCCAGTGGTGCTGGACGACACTGAGTTTCAGGACTGCGGTCAACTCAGCCGTCTCTCAAATTTGCTTGGTCAAATGAGCAGTTCTTCATTTCTGAGTGCGCGATTTATAGCGCCTTTACGGTAATCGCTGAGAAGCGGCACTAACGCAAGAGTAAAAATAATGCATGTTTTTTCTGCTTCATGCGATACAAATTATTTTTACCATGAATTCTTAAAAAAACTAACACTGTTTGACTCAGTCCTAGTTTGACTGCTACCAACAATAAAATGAAGTACTTTTACTGTCTTTTTTCTGGGTAATACTCTCAAATTCCCCTCCTGAGAACAAAATCATGCAACTTCTGCTATATTTGATGAGATACAATGATTTTTATCGATGCATCCTTAATAAAAGTGATACTGTTGAACTCAGTACTACTTGGACTAGTAGCACAAGTACAATCAAGTACTTTTACTGTGTACTTTTGAGTAATCCCCTGTCAAACTCCCCTCCAGAGTACAATAATGCATGTTTTCTGCCCTCTTTGATGAGAGATAAAATGATTTTGTGCAATAAGTTCTTAATGTAATTGGTACTGTTGGATTCAGTACTTCTTGGACTACTACCAAAACTACAATCAAGTACTTTTACTGTGTACTTTTGAGTAATCCTTTGTCAAACTCCACCCCTGAGTACAATAATGCATGTTTTCTGCCATCTTTGATGAGAGATAAAATGATTTTGTGCAATAAGTTCTTAATGTAATTGGAACTGTTGGATTCAGTACTACTCGGACTACTACCAAAACTACAATCAAGTACTTTTACTGTGTACTTTTTGAGTAATCCTTTGTCAAACTCCACCCCTGAGTACAATAATGCATGTTTTATGCCATCTTTGATGAGAGATAAAATGATTTTGTGCAATAAGTTCTTAATGTAATTGGTACTGTTGGATTCAGTACTACTTGGACTACTACCAAAAGTACAATCAAGTACTTTTACTGTGTACTTTTTGAGTAATCCTTTGTCAAACTCATTCCCCTGAGTACAATAATGCATGTTTTCTGCCATCTTTGATGAGAGATAAAATGATTTTGTGCAATAAGTTCTTAATGTAATTGGTACTGTTGGATTCAGTACTACTTGGACTACTACCAAAACTACAATCAAGTATTTTTACTGTGTACTTTTTGAGTAATCCTTTGTCAAACTCCACCCCTGAGTACAATAATGCATGTTTTCTGCCATCTTTGATGAGAGATAAAATGATTTTGTGCAATAAGTTCTTAATGTAATTGGTACTGTTGGATTCAGTACTACTTGGACTACTACCAAAAGTACAATCAAGTACTTTTACTGTGTACTTTTAGAGTAATCCTTTGTCAAACTCCACGCCTGAGTACAATAATGCATGTTTTCTGCCATCTTTGATGAGGGATCAAATTATTTTTAGCCATAAGTTCTTAATAAAATTGGTACTGTTGGACTCAGTACATGTTAGACTACTACCGCAAATACAATCAAGTACTTTTACTGTGTACTATTTGAGTAATACTCTGTCAAACTCCCCTCCAGAGTACAATAATGCATGTTTTCTGCCCTCTTTGATGAGAGATAAAAAGGATTTTTAAAAATAAGTTCTTAGTGAAATTGATACTGTTGAACTCAGTACTACTTGGACTAGAAGTACAAGTACAATCAAGTACTTTTACTGTGTACTTTTTGAGTAATCCCCTGTCAAACTCCCCTCCAGAGTACAATAATGCATGTTTTCTGCCCTCTTTGATGAGAGATAAAATGATTTTGTGCAATAAGTTCTTAATGTATTTGGTACTGTTGGATTCAGTACTACTTGGACTACTACCAAAACTACAATCAAGTACTTTTACTGTGTACTTTTTGAGTAATCCTTTGTCAAACTCCTCTCCAGAGTACAATAATGCATGTTTGCTGCCATCTTTGATGAGAGATAAAATCATTTTGTGCTATAAGTTCTTAATTAAATTGATACTGTTGGATCAGTACTACTTGGACTAGTAGCACAAGTACAATCAAGTACTTTTACTGTGTACTTTTTGAGTAATCCTTTGTCAAACTCCACCCCTGAGTACAATAATGCATGTTTTCTGCCATCTTTGATGAGAGATAATAGAATTTTTTGCAATAAGTTCTTAATAAAATTGGTACAGTTGGATTCAGTACTACTTGGACTACTACCAAAAGTACAATCAAGTACTTTTACTGTGTACTTTTTGAGTCTTGTAATGCGCTGTTGACCCTGCGACCCAAGTTGTGTATATGATCAATACACCTTAGAAAATCTTGAAATCTTGAAAGGGATGTGCAAAAGAACCATTATACAGTTTTTAATTAACTATTAGTAGAGAATAACGAGTAATGAATATACTTTATAGAGATCTGCAGATAAATGTTTAGTCTTCTCAAGCACCAACTATCAAATATCTCTCCTGATTGTTGGCACTTGACAATCACCTTCCCTGAATTTCACTCAGGTGTAACTAAAGTCTGCTTTAAGGGTTGTTTATATTTCACATCATTAATCAGAATCTGCAAAGTAACTAAACTAAATGTAATGGAGTAAAAATACCAGGTTAACCTCTGATTTGTAGTGGAGAATTACAAAGTAACAATGAGCTGTCATGTGGGTATATATTAATGCTGCACATTATGGATACAAGCGATTTTCACCCATTTAGTAATTACATGTTTTAAATGTGTACACACCAATGTGTTTCCTATCGCCTAAACCTCCAGGGCTGTACACAGTTTAATACTGGCAACTTCTAATTTTTGGAAAAACGTCTTTTAAAACTACAATTCCCAGTAGATACGTGCCATAGAGAACATGTTGCGAAACACAATAGCCAGCATGTGTATTTCTCGGGGGGCGTTCGAGTCCAGTTTTGAATAGTCTGCCGTGGATTCGTTCCATTTCAAAGAGCTTGACGCTCGGCGTAACCTTGGCGCACTGCCACTCCAACATCACAGGGTTTGTCAACGGGACTGTAGTCCCAAACGATAGCTGGGGATTATGGGTAGTGTAGTATCTTTGGCCATCCTAAATCTCGAAATGTCCCGTCTGTTTCTGGTGACTTTATTTACGGCTAAAAAGTATGCTAAAATGCCCAAGATTATAGAATTAAATGAATAAATAAAAACAAGGATAATTGTGTGTTATTGTTGAGTAAATAACAGTGTGTTATTTAGAAAAGAATAACAAATTAGAAGGAAAAGATTAAAAAAATACAGATTTCAGTATTTTGAGGCTCTAAGCCCCATTTATTTTCCTCACAGACGACAAAAAAAGTCCGACATTATACGATTTAAAATAAAAACAAATAAATAAAAAGATAAAAGACTGGCATGCAATTTACGTTAGAATAAATAGAATGGTTTTGAATAATAGATGAGAGTAAAATCTACGTCACTTTACAGCCCCGCCCACTTTTGAGGAAACCAACGCTGTCATTTGAACGGCGATCAAGCCTGAAGCCACAGAGCTCTTCTTTTACTGTCTTTTCTTCTTAGAGGAAGTACAGAAACACGTAACTCTAGATTTGTTTTAATGTTTGAGGTGCAATAAATGACACAGCAGCTTTTTGTCATGTTAAAACTATTATTTTCTGCCTCGCTCATGAGTGTAACAGCTGGCGAAATTACAGCCTCGCCTACTGATTTTAATGTAACCATATATCGAGCCCGATTGTCGATTTCAAAGGTGTGCTCTAAAATGATATTTATAAATGACTATTATCATTATTATAAGCAAGACAATAAATGGCAAATATATGTAGAAAATAAACGTATTTAAGATACGTTCATAACGAACGTAACGTGGGAGAAAATACGTTTCTAGAAGATATGTAGAAAATAAACGTATTTTAAATAGGTTCATAACGAACGTAACGTGGGAGTAAATCAGTTTCTAGCTAAACGTAATTGAGAATGCAGTTTAGTTCTGTGGGAACGTAATTTTTAGGAGACATGGTTGCAAAAATTATACATGTGTTATACATCCAGAAATATCGAAATATCGTTTCCCACAGTGTGACATGTATAGGCTACATAAAACAAAAAGGGCCTAGATAAACGTGGTATAAATTAAACAAAACAAAAAGGGCCTAGATAACCGGGGTATACCATTTAAAATGTTAATATATTTAAAATGTTCAAAGTGCAGTTTCAGTGCAAGTCAGTTGAAACGATCTTAAGTTGGCGTGACGTTGAAGTCGTGCGACCCTGCTGCTGTACTGGCTTGTAGTTCGTTTATAGCATAACGTTAGCATTTCGCTTTTGGCGACTAGATTTATGATTCAAATTATAAAAGTAGGGTAGACATGTGGAGATTATCCGGCTGAACAAAACGTGATCCCTCTCTTAAATGTGTGTCAACCACAGACCTTATTTCGAGCTATTTTCCAAAATCCTATGGAGAATTTGCATTGGTTTTTCACGAAGGAACCGGAAGAAGTTTACTTCCGGGTTTTACCACGCGTCACTGCGGTTCTCTATACCTGTCAATTAGTGCTTCCATGGACCTCATCTGTAATGGAAGCTCGTCGAGGGTACGTATATTTGTATTTCAACAGAAAAGTAGTTATATACATAATTGTGTTCGAAAATAAAACACAAATGTTTATATGAATTGTTTATAGTTCTGATTTGACTTTATTCTAAGTCAAATCTTAACTATTATATGTAGTTTAATCATTTTTATTTAGGTGGTCGCTCAGTTTTTCAAATGTACACCATTCAGCTCCTCCAGCACCCCTACTTCCTGCGGCACCCGACACACTGAACTCACATGTTGTTTAACAGATGACACGTTTGTAAACAAAAACCCTGCTGGGGGACTGGGTGATACATTATCTTTTAAAATTGTATGAACATGTCCAAATTTAAGAATCCCCATAGAAATTGTCAACGGACAAACTGTTTTCTCAAGATGTACATGTATTATTATTATTTTTAAATAAGAAAAAAACAGTGTTCTTGTTTATTACAGGTTATAAAGTTATACTTTTATAAAATGTATGGACAACATTTTAAAAAGTGCTGGGGACATGTACCCAGCATCCCCAGCTTAAATGACACCTATGAATATATCCCTCTGTCCTTTCAGCGCAAATCGACATAGCATAGGCAACAAATCAGAAGTCAGGGAATCAAGCTAATTAATTAAAAAAGTCTAAACTGAGTGAAAAGTCTAACTATAAATAATAGATTTTAACTTATGTCTTTTCAGAGTCTTGGTTTTCTCAACGTTTGGGAAGGCAAGTGTTTCTTATTTGTCACACAATTGTAATTGCATTAAAAAATTCAATGATTTCTCAAATGTCATATTTTTTTACAAAGAAATGACGGAACTTTGACATTTCAATTTCAGACAAGAAAAATAACAATAACAAAAGAAGTCCTTTTGGCTGTCACTGACAAGCTTCGAGCCACAACCAAAACAAAAGACAACGATGAAGGTGACGAGAAAGACACTTTCTGGGGCGAGGTGTGTCAGGAGCTTGGAATATCCGATTCCAAGACCAATAGGACACGGCTTCATCATGCCTATAACCATCATAAAAAGGTACATTTTTTATAAATATTGCACTAATATTGATTCTTATTTCTGCTTTGCTTTTATCTTCATCATCAGTCTGCCTGTGTGAACAACTTTAATTTGGATGTGCTATAATATTTTATATTATTTGATTAATAATTACATCTTTGGATTTCATTTGCTCCTTGTCATGTGCAGATGAGACACAAGACACAGATGGTGACCGCAGCACCTGCCAGCCCATCGACAGACAGTGACCACACGGCCTGCCCCATCGACAGTGACCACAGTTCCACTGACATTGACCGCACAGTGCCTGCTACCCCATCGTCGGTTAGACAGGCATTCACAGAGACGAGTGAACCAGAAGACGTTTCAGAGGTAAATATCGCATATTAGCACGTAGTTAGTGTTAGTGTGTTATGAAACATGCACACTACTGTGTGGAGTGAAATTATAGTTAGTCCCAAATAAACAATTTCAGATATATTGATTCACATCAGTAAAGAGTCATTCCAACTTTGGTCACTTTCGCTAATATGTTTTCATTGTGTTTTACAGTGTAATTCATCAGGGACATATGACTCCTCATCACAGTCAAAAGATGGGCAACTCTTACACTCATTTAAATTGCCTTCAAATTCTTCATTTTTTTTTGTCACTAAAAGTGACTGGAAGAAACTGAGGATGAGACAACATAAGCGTCGATTCAAATCTTTAAACTGGACTTCAGTCATGGCCACTGGCATCCGGAGTGTCCACCCACACTGTTGCTTTGTCTTCAAATCTCACAGTGTGCAAACAGTTGGGTCAAAAAGGAAAGGGTCACTTTTTTCATGTGTTGGCTACTGTCGATTTGATGACTGTCCTGTGGAGGTCGAAGTTGACATTGAGGATGAGTCATCCCTTAAGGCAGTTGTGACCTTCAGAGGTGAAAAAGCATGGCACAACTGTGAAGAACTCAAAACATCGGCCTGTGCGTGCAGATGAAAGGGATGCACTTGCTAATGCCCTCACCAGCAAACTTCCCAGAAGTGTGTACCTTGATAAGCTCAATAAACTGGATGACACTGTGTTGGCTTCTGGAAACAGAGACCAGGTACCATCAACTGGTGTGATGAAAACATTGTCCTGGCAGGCAAGAAAGAAGCTGAGAAAACACAGCAATGAAATGATCAGCCTCAGAAAAATGATGGAGGAAGAGCTTGAGACTGAGGAAGCAGTCATTAAAAAAATTATAGCACACCCCAAAGGAGTCATGCTATGGTCCAACAAAACAATTGACCTCTTCCATGACAGGTGCAGGGAAGACATTGTATATGTGGATGCGACAGGGAGCATTGTTAAAAAGGCAAAAGGGAAAACCTCACCTTTTTATGTGTATGAGATGGTGGTCCGAAATCCGTTCAAAGGATCCTCCCCTGTCCCTGTGGCCACCTACATCACAAACGACCACACAATAGCCTCCATATCCTTTTTCCTTGGGTCATTTATGACTGATGTAATAAGACTCCATGGAAGGGGAGCCAAAAAAAGACCTGTCATGCTGATCTGTGATGGCTCTACAGTCCTCATGGAGTCCATGGCCTATAATTTCTGTGGAGTCAGCCTCCAGGAACTTCTCTCCATGTACTACAGCATCGTATCTGGACAGGCAAAGCATGATTGTACTTTTAGTAGTAGTCCAAGTAGTACTAAATCCAACAGTACCAATTTCATTAAGAACTTATTGCACAAAATCCTTTTATCTCTCATCAAAGATGGCAGAAAACATGCATTATTGTACTCAGGGGTGGAGTTTGACAAAGGATTACTCAAAAAGTACACAGTAAAAGTACTTGATTGTACTTGTGCTACTAGTCCAAGTAGTACTGAATCCAACAGTATCAATTTCATTAAGAACTTATTGCACAAAATCATTTTATCTCTCATCAAAGATGGCAGAAAACATGCATTATTGTACTCTGGAGGGGAGTTTGACAGGGGATTACTCAAAAAGTACACAGTAAAAGTACTTGATTGTACTTTTAGTAGTAGTCCAAGTAGTACTGAATCCAACAGTACCAATTTCATTAAGAACTTATTGTACAAAATCATTTTATCTCTCATCAATGATGGCAGAAAACATGCATTATTGTACTCTGGAGGGGAGTTTGACAGGGGATTACTCAAAAAGTACACAGTAAAAGTACTTGATTGTACTTTTAGTAGTAGTCCAAGTAGTACTGAATCCAACAGTACCAATTTCATTAAGAACTTATTGCACAAAATCATTTTATCTCTCATCAAAGATGGCAGAAAACATGCATTATTGTACTCTTTAGGGGAGTTTGATAGGGGATTACTCAAAAAGTACACAGTAAAAGTACTTGATTGTACTTTTAGTAGTAGTCCAAGTAGTACTGAATCCAACAGTACCAATTTCATTAAGAACTTATTGCACAAAATCATTTCATCTCTCATCAAAGATGGCAGAAAACATGCATTATTGTACTCGGGTGGAGTTTGACAAAGGATTACTCTAAAAGTACACAGTAAAAATACTTGATTGTACTTGTGCTACTAGTCCAAGTAGTACTGAATTCAACAGTACCAATTTTATTAAGAACTTATTGCACAAAATCCTTTTATCTCTCATCAAAGATGGCAGAAAACATGCATTATTGTACTCAGGGGTGGAGTTTGACAAAGGATTACTCAAAAAATACACAGTAAAAATACTTGATTGTACTTGTGCTACTAGTCCAAGTAGTACTGAATCCAACAGTACCAATTTCACTAAGAACTTTTTGCAAAACATCATTTTATCTCTCATCAAAGATAGCAGAATACATTATTTTGTGTACTCAGGACAGGAGTTTAAACAAGTATTACTTAAAAAGTACACAGTAAAAGTACTTGATTGTACTTTTAGTAGTAGTCCAAGTAGTACTGAATCCAACAGTACCAATTTCATTAAGAACTTATTGCACAAAATCATTTTATCTCTCATCAAAGATAGCAGAAAACATGCATTATTGTACTCTGGAGGGGAGTTTGACAGGGGATTACTCAAAAAGTACACAGTAAAAGTACTTGATTGTACTTTTAGTAGTAGTCCAAGTAGTACTGAATCCAACAGTACCAATTTTATTAAGAACTCATTGCAAAAAATGATTGTATCTCTCATCAAAGAGGGCAGAAAACATGCATTATTGTACTCTGGAGGGGAGTTTGACAGAGTATTACTCAAAAAGTACACAGTAAAAGTACTTGATTGTATTTGTGGTAGTAGTCTAACATGTACTGAGTCCAACAGTACCAATTTTATTAAGAACTTATGGCTAAAAATAATTTGATCCCTCATCAAATATCATTGATTGATTGATCAAATATAGCATAAGCACTTTTACTATCGTCAGCGCCACTTCTCGGCGATTACCGTAAAGACGCTATTAATCGCGCACTCAAAAATGAAGCGCTGCTTATTTGACCAAGCAAATGCGAGAGACGGCTGAGTTGACCGCAGTGTTTCAGGGCACCACAGTGCTGGATCTGAAACAAAAGATTGAAGCTCTCGATGGAATTCCAGGTAGATCACTATTGAAATAGCCACTGTGACGCAGATTATATCCTATATGCTTAAACCATAACGTTAAAATGTAACCATGTTCCGTGTGACTAACGTGTTTTGCCATTTGATGGTAGGCGTCAGAATGTAGTGGGCTACTGGACCTTTGTTTGTTGGGTTTTTGCAATAACATACACATCAGAACATTTATAATTGGCTGTTAATTATAACCGAGAAGTCAGTGTGTTTAGGTCAGCATGGTTATTTTCCACCAGGAATTAGTAGGACTGCAGGTCTAAAAAAGCAATTTAAAATGACCTAAGACATATATAGCCCATATCGAAATATTGTTAGTGCCTGGTTTTGACCCCTTTTCTTTGTACGCGTGTGTTCCTGTGTGTCCATGTTTTAGTGTCACAACAGCGACTGATCGTCGAAGGCCGGCAACTGAAGGACAACTTTCTACTATCATACTACGGAATTCAAAATGAAGCAACCATTCACTTGGTGTTAAGATTGAAGGGTGGAGCTGAGCCTGGGGGCCCGGGAGATCCTGGACTGGGTGACAAGGATGGGAAACACAGTAGTAATGAAAGGCTCGCTGACTTTTAAAACCTTCCCTGGACAGAACTGTTTCCTGGAGACATTTTAACACCAGAGCTTCACACAAGTGTCCAAACGATTATCCCATATCACACTCTGCTGGGATTTTAGTGTAAAACCAATATTGGATTAATCATATAATTGCATATGTCTTGTTATGCGCCTGCTCTGTGTGTGGATTGTTTAAAGTGTTTGAACAGGGAAAGTTAATGGATGTGTCTTGCACCTTGATTTTTTTAGACAACTTTCAGGGAGTGGCTTAAAGTGCAAATCACTGTCATCACTACCTGTCCACTTCCTGTAGCATAAGTGCTAATGCTAACCTTGTTTTAAGTGTTATGCATCCAGGGAGCTGTTTCATGATATCAATGATCAGGAAACACATGAAAAGTGTTGACAGTTGTCAAAAGACTACATTTGTGTCATTATTTGTTTTATTTAGCTGTTGTTTAACCCAGTCCAACATATTCACTAATGAGCAGCTGTTTGACATCCAATATAAAATCTACACTGACTGATGAAGAAAAGCCTGATTCAGTGATGCAGTTGTTAATGATGAAGGAAGCAGCCTTCAGTGGCAACATGTCAACTAATGCATTTTAAAACATTGTGCAAAAACAGATGTGTTTTATGCTCACAATATAAATGAACAAATACACTTTTATTATAGTAAACCTGGTCTCTTTGATGAGTGTATACTACAGGGTAGATAAGGCTAAAGTATTGTACTGCATCTTAACATGTAAGTATTGTCTTTTCCAGATACATGCAGTAGAATAGCAGATCAATAGACAAAATACCAATACTTGCCTCTGAAATATAGTAGAGGAGAATTAGGCTCTATATAGAACATGTCAAAATGTTGCTTATACAGTACTTTACTCATTGTACTACTTAGTTTGTAGTAGCTTATTATTTATGTTACGACTACATCAGTAAAGAGCCGTTACATGTCCCTGTCAGTCGTGAGAGCCGCCTTATGTACACTGAAAAAACTGAAACTTTGACTTTAATTAAATGCATTATGTCAGCAAGTTTCACAAAACTGTATTAGTTTAGTTGAAAGCAATTTATTTTAATATTATCGCTTTCAACTAACCTCAGACAGTTTTGTTCAGTGTAGAAATGGTCGACAAGTTTTCTCCAACATGTGGTTTGGTTTATTCTCCACAGACATTACATGTACGTGTGTGGTGAGTGCAGTCATTGAACGCATCTCCAGGCCTGACTCCTCCACCAACCAATTACCCACCTGTTGGACCTTTCCTCATCCCTTTGCCTCTGTCGGGGTTGGTGTTACAGTTTGTGAGCCAATGTATGTGTCGGTACGCCTTTGTTGTCCTGCCTGCTTTATCCATTTTTAGCTTTGTCGTGCATTTTAAGTATTTTAAAACCTACTGAGATTTTGTTTAACTTTGTCAGTCATTTATTTTCCTTAGTGGAGTTGAGTGCCAGTCACAGCTTGTCTCCCCTCAATGTTTGCTTTGACTGCACCTGTGGTGAGTATACGAAAGCTTAAATTAGTTTTAAGTAAAGCTAATTTTGTGGACTTATTTTAAAACCAATATTTTTGGCATGATGGTACTGGACATTTTTAGTTTTATCTTTGAGAAATAATTTCTTTCAATTTCTTATGATGGTTAAATAGTAAAAATTCATTTATTTGTGAACGTGTCTTTATTGTGAACTCAAGCTTTTTGGTAGCCGATATATCATTTCTCTGTTACACCTATTTCCTGGGGTGCAAGAGTTGTCGGTATTCTATCTCTTGTAACCGTTAAATATAATATAATATTTTGTCGCCACATGCTTTGCCTAATTCACAATTTCTTCCCAACATAAGCACCCAAAGTCCAACTTCATGCCGTATAATGGATTTTAAATGTTTTGAGGGGATATAGAGTTGTTTCTGTTTCTTAACTCTTTGCAGGCACACCTGTTATAATCCTGGCAATGAGTGTATTGATCTTCAACTTGATTCCTTCTTTGGTGACTTCAAAAGATATTCAGCATACACCGATAACATCACAAAAAAGCTGTGTGTGTGGTAGCATGCAGAGCCTTTGACGAGGTTACTTCATGACCAAACTACTATTTCTACTATCTAACATAAACTCTGCCCGCTGCATACGTCAATACGGTAATTTTACCCTTTATTTTCTAAAGGAAATGCACTGATTTCTGCTCTTCCCCCTCAGTGAATTGTCGGCAGGATCAGTAGAATACCTAAAGTTTTACCTTTGACCAGTCATGATGCATCAGAGGTAAAGATAATTCATATTGAAGAGATGTAATGTTATGTTTAGAAGCTATTAGCTGACATCTGTTATGTAAAGGAAGAGTACAATGGAGGCAATGCCAGGCAGAGGAATTACGTAACTGGGTGAGGAAAGGATGTGATTTAATTCTAACATTTAAACGCCTACATTTTTTAAATATGACTTTTGGTCAATTTCTGCTGCGACTTTGTTGGATTGTTACCTTTTTGTCCAAATTCAAAACTTGTCACCAGTGTCATCGGTCAGTGTTATTTTCAGATGAACCTCTAGGGGACGCTACAGCTCCTCCTGTGCATACTTGACTGTCAGGTTATTCTGCACTAAAGGTTATACTGGTGCAAAGCTTTTTCCAACTCTGTCTAGGATGCAGGAAATGATTTCAGAAGAACTGTTTAACATCAAATATAAGTTCTGCATTAGAAGTAAACATGTATTTAGTCATTTGCAGAGATGGAAGAAGTACTCAGATGTTGTACTTGATTATAGGCAGAAGTACCAGAGAGGAATACAGTAACAAGTAAAAGTGCTTCATTCAAAATGTTACTCAAGTAAAAGTATTAGCATCAAATATACTTAAAGTACCAGAAGTAAAAGTACTCATTATGCAGATTGATCCATTTCAGAATAATATATGTTTTGATTATAATTATTGATGCATTACTGCAGTGTTCTCAAAGCTGGTAAAGGTGCAGCTAGTTTTAATGACTTTGTATACTGCAGGTAGCTTGTGAATTTACTCCAAGTGTAACTAAAGTCTGATTTCACATCATTAATCCAGATCTGGGTTATTAATGATCAACTATAAGTGAACAGAGATTAATAGGCAGAAACAGCATTCAGTGGCAACACAAATAGTGCACGATACAACATTATTAGAAAACAAATGTTTTTAATGCTCACATTATACATGAACAAATAAGTCTACATTGTATATTAAATATGGTCTCGTCGATGAATAGGGTACATGTGGGATTTATAAGAAGACACATTTTGAAAGTGAAAGTATCCTCATTCCCTCTATTGTCAGCCTACACCCTGAGTTACATCAGACTACCTCTTAGCAGCAGAAAGCAGCACAATGACTCACACACACAAAAATGGGAACAATATACCAGCTCATTGTGAAAGGACCAAATGGGCAGCAGATTTCTCTTGACATGGCCAAGACGGAGGAGCAGTTCAAGAGCATGACCGTGCTGCAGCTGTGGGAGAAGATACTAGAGACGTTTCCTGAATACAAAAGTAAGCGTCATTGTTGCTACCAAAAGTAAGCCTGCCAGTGAAACTGTATGTTCAGCCGATTTGAATCCGTTATATTCGTTTCTGGAAGCAACACACACACGAGCTGAGTAAAACGAGTCTCAGTCTTACAAGGCCAAGAATTTATGTTTATATACATGACATACTTTTCAATTTATAATCCTGTCTTTGAAGTGAAATATCTCTTTAGGTTACCTGACATTGATTCTGTTAAAATAGCCCAGATTAGTGCTTAAGTAGGCCTACAGTAGTACTTACGTGTTTTAAGTTACACTCCCATTATACTGTAGACACTGGCTAAATTAGATAATTGTTCTGCCTCGTTCTGACTTCCTTTGTCTCTGTGTGTTCATGTTGTAGTATCAGACCTGCAAGTGCAACTGATCTTCACACACAACACTCTGGATGAGGACTCTGCACTGTTGTCTGACTATGGAATCCAAAACAAATCACTCATCTTCATGTGTATACAACTACCAGGTGGAGGAAGTATGGAAAAACTCAGTTCTTTTTAAAAACCTACTTTGGATATCCTCCTGGGACCCAGCCCATTGAAAATGTCCACTGTAGTGGACATTTTGTTAACATGCATCTCCTTTGACTCTTTTGAGCTACTCTATCAATCCCTGATGTGCTGTACAGAGGTCATCCTGGTCTTTCCAGTGATATGTCATTGGTTAAAATTGCATGCTGGGAAGTTCCTCTTTCTTTTCATCCAAAATGGCTGGCATACCAAAAACAAAATTGTATAGAAGCAGGAGGAGAAGTCAAATATTGTTGAATAATTGTAATTTTTACCATGAAAATCATATATATTCTTGTTTATTAACATGTGAGGAACTATATAATTAGTTCTGAAAACAATTAAATAATTCAAGTTTTCAAATAACAGCCCTTTTATAAATGTCCATTCTAGTGGACGTCAGGACTATCTTCATGGACTTTATGACTCAATATCGTTGCAGGAGACGGAACTGAAGCAGACATTTTCTGTACCAGAAAGTTCAGGGAGATTCAGATGTTGAGAGAGATGAGGATTTCACTCCTGGGATAGAAGAGGGTCAAGAAGAAGGGGGGAAAGATGCAGGAGGCTCCATGAGCGCACAGATAGATACATAGAGACAGATAGGGACGAGCTGGAAAGACATGGCCCTCTGTAGGCCAAGAGTAGCACGTATGTCTTATTGTTGTTTTTATTTTAAGTGGAGCCACGAAAGATGAGAGTTGCCTCAGGAATGCAAGCTTTGTTTCTATGAGCAGGTCAAATGGAGACCACATCCATACAACTAGTCAAGATGACCATACAGCCCGTGCCGACTGGAGTCAATGAGGTACTTTCCCAGTACATTGACTACAAAGTCTTTGAAGATCTGGAAAGATTCACCAAAAACCAAACTAGTTTTTTAGTGACCAAATAAACAGCAATGTTCAGATCAATTACTTATTCATGTTTTAAATAAAGGTGAATGTATTATTGTATTAATATCACTCAACCATAATTCGTTACATAGTCCATCTGTTAATTGTGGCTGTCTTTTCAAACTAATATGGTCCTGACGTCCTCTACAGTGGACATACTGTAACATTTTAAAATCAAATTAAAAAAAAAAAGTCTAAATTGCAAGATGTTTTTTTAACCCTAAATAGGTAGGAAATCACAAAAAAAAGGAAATTGGAAGACACTATAAGCTCAACTCACACTCGAATTTAAGTGTCTTGTACCTTGAACTTTTGAGCTACTCCAGTCAGGTGGTTTATGGTCCAAACTACTGCAATCACTCCTGTCCACTTCCTGTTAATATACCGTACACTTCAACACATTTTTTAGTGGGCCTTTCTTTAATTAGCCAACATATGCAGCAGTGCCTTTTTTTGCTTCACTTCTATAACTCCTGTCTGCTTCTCCAGACTCCTAACTGGGACGTACTGACCTTCATTTATTGTGTTTTACACAAAGCTTTACCATTATTGACTCTCTCATCACACAAACTGTCATCACTTCTGGGTCAATTTGTTTTAAAAATGTGTCATATGTCAAATGGTCAGTAGTTTTATCCTAAAATGTAAAAACCCCTGTTTGTGAAATGTGATATTTCTTTGTTAATTTCAGTGACTTTGTTGGCTATTAAACAACTGTTCCAGTCTTAAAACGTGTCAGTGTTATTTTTGAGATTTACCTCTAGGGGGCGCTACAGCTCCTACTGACATTACAATGAAAGGTTATACAGGTGAGCAACTTCAATTCAATAACTACAGTACTTGTGCAAAATCGAAACATTTTCAGCTACAGTAAGTAAAATCTCTATTAGGTGTTTGAATGTTGTATTGCATGTGGGAAAATGCTAATAGTTTTTTATTTTACCCACTTACAACTTGTATTATGTGCACCTGTTTGACATCAAGTAGAAGTTCCACACTCATGTTAAGGGAAACTTTATTTATTCAGTTATTAATGATTGACTATTATTGAAAAGAGATCCAACAACAACATTACAAACAGTGCATTATAAAACATTAAGAGAAAATAAAGCAGATATTTTCAATACGTGAAAAAATAAGCTTATAAGTCTACACTTTTGGCTCTAGTTACTAAGGCAATCTTGCATTGAAATCCAAGAAAAGATGACAGAAAAAGACAGTAAACTACATTAATGTGTGTGCAGTGTTTCTCTTAGTTTCGGTGCCACACAGGTATGGAGGTTTGTTTGGGAGCCACACCAGCACTGCAGGGGAGGAAGTAGGAGCTTGTCTGCAGGCACTCAGGAGTGAGCTTCAGACACACAAAGCAGAACTCCACCTGACAGCGAGGACAGATGATGTTCTTACAGCCCGTTGTGTCGTGCTCCACCTTTGTACCACAGGTGGGACAGGCCCGGATGGAGGGACACGCAGTGACCCCCTGTACCTCAGAGAGGGCGGTGGTCTTGCAGTTCTTGAGGAGCTCCAGGACCGCGTTGATGCAGCCGTCGTTGTCGCAGCGGTCCGAGCGCGGTGCTGCGCCTTTCCACTCCTTCAGACACTGCCAGCAGAAGTTGTAAACCTTCTTCTTTTCGTCCGTGCAGATCGTGCACATCACGCTGAGGTTGCTCTGGGCCTCTCTCTCCACATACGTTTTACAGCCAGGACACTGTTGGAGGGGATGTGAGAAAAAGTTAAAGGGGCCCTGTTAAGCTTTGGGGGTTTTTCCTGTTCCGTTAGTGGGCTTTTTAGATTCTTGTGAATTAAATGGTCTGCAAAGGCTAGAATCCCTGCCTGAGACACCTGGATTGGACTCCTTTGTTTACTTCCTGGACATAGTGACATCACTACTTCAAACGCTTCTATTGGCTAGTGCTCCGACACATTGTACGCGATATATGCTAAGGGACCAATCACAACAGGGACGGCCAGCTAACATATCTGGCAGGCAGTATGATAAAAATAAAGAGCTTTTTGAACATTAAAGCATGGAAACATGTCACAGCAGAGGCACACAATACAAATATGAACCTGAAAATGAGCATAAAATGGCCCCTTTTGCTCAACATTTTGTAGATTTAGACTTGGCTCTCACATCTCTCCCATTATTATTATTATCATCTTCTATCTCTCATGTATAACTCCATACAATAACGAAAGAGTACAAATGTAATGGCTACGATTTTTACACACAAGAACTGGTTTCAAGGACAGACACGGAAGCCTTTTGAAAGAGTGGGGTCAGTGGAAAGCTGTTCCCACTTGTTTCCAGTCTTTGAGCTAAGCTAAGCTAACTTGCTGCTGGTTTGAGTTCAATCATAATTATAACAAATATATAGGTAAAATATTACTAGGACACATCAGGCTTGTTTTCCGGTTTGCACTTGTTTTTTGGTTTCTGCTAGATCATGTCTACATGCTTTAATGTAAACACACATTACATCTCTCATACTGTCTGTCTGAATGTACCTAACACCTGGCTCTTTAAGCCCCTTCCCAAAAAAGCCCAGAGTGCTCTGATTGGTCGGTGTTTCATGGTCTTTCACATCTTTCCTCTCTGCATCTCTGCACCAAATTAGGCGAGTAACTACTGTAACGGTACTGTAGTGGCACATTGTGACATCACAAGTGCACCTAGAACATGGACTTAAAATATGTATCGGACCTAAACTTTCTTTACTGTTTTCCGCATGATTTGATGATATTAGAAACAAACAACTCACTGTTTTGAATTCACAGTATTCTGTGGCAGCCAGACGGGCCATCCTCTCTTCAAAGTACGCCATCTCTGAAGCTGTCAGCACTGCCAGCCGGCGCACCTCTTGATAGGACCACTCTTTATCACACTTCTTCACAGTGCCATCCTTCAAAGCAGGGCACTTAAACTTGTACTGGCCCTGAAAATCAAAAGGACACATTGAGTTATATTGCAGTGTATGTGGGGAGTTGAGAATCCTTTACATGTAGAACCAGGAAAGGTGTAAACTAAATAATAAATCGAAATCATCATGCATGGGCAACAGACACTTATACACTGAGGACAAAACACCGTTTCCATATAATAAGTGGTCTAACACAGTTTTTATAGTCAGTAAAAAGTAGAGGTGGAAACATGTGTTTCTGTTTCTGTTTGCAACATCAATTCTCTAACACTTAGTGAACCCGGCTTTGTGCTCTTTAAACAACATGTTGGAAAGTACCTGATCCAGCAGACTGCGACACCAGCCAGTGAGAGACTGTGGAGTGACTGCATGACCGCAGGACATCTCTGCACAGAGACACTGGTCTCCATCTTCCGGAGCTGAGGGAAACAACAACAAGAGCAGACATTGAACTCATCGTCATAGTCACATACATATAGCCCTGCACATTCAGCATAAAAGAGCCCACCTATATTCCTTTAAAGAAAAATTAAGAAATACTTCTCCCTCTGTTGTTACATATACATACATAACTTAATAATAGATACAAATTGGGATATTATATTGTTACAGTAACAGCTGCTATCAAGGTTTTGCACACAAGTTTAATATAAATATATACAGTACATATCACCAGGAGAAAGATATCTATCTATACAGTATACACCATTTACAAAATAAATACAAAATCATTTAGCACATACTCTAATTTATCAAGCTACAACTACTAAAATTGAACATAGGGTACTAATATTTACATTACAAGTGTGCAAAGTAGTTGCAGTTTTGTAAATGATTAAGCATTAGGTAGTGTAGGTTAATCAGGATAACCAATTCACGCAGCACAGAAACGTGAATTATTGTGATTCTGGTTTAAATGGTTTTTGATAATGCTTACGATATGCATCCAGAGCATCCGGTTTGTTGACAAACTTCAGAGTCGTGTCTCTCGGGTCGTATCTCTTCTCCTCCTGACCCGGTGTAGTCATTTTGTTTCAGCTCCTCTGCTCTCCTAACTTCGTGTGTCAGCAGTCAGATGAGCTGAGATGAGATGAGCAGTAAAATGGCTGCTGCTGTGTCAATTTCTCTGACTCCGATTTTCTTTTTTACTTTCAGTTTCCCACAGCAGTTCCAAGAAATCACGTGAATGTAGAGTAACAACAGGTCAGAATTCCCCATCTACTTTTTTTGTTGTTGACATTATTATTTTTTAAGACAGCCTTGATGTGTGTCCTCAAGTATGGAGAAAAGTCCCTTCATGTGTTTAATATTTACACCACTTTGTTTTACAGAAACTTCTTATAAGACAGCCAGAATGTGGAATAGCTGGTAAACAAAGAGGACGTTGGTCAGATGCCAAACACTGCTGGAGTATCAGGTGATTTCCACTAATCACATCATTGGCTGTTTTTCTGTGTTACATAAATGCTATATGTAGCCCTTGTGCTGTTACTAACATTATTAATATAAAATCACAGATAGCTTTAAATACAATTATGTATTCAAAGGCATGTGATGTTACACACAAGACGGCCAGTGGAGGAAGAAGTACTCAGATCTTGTACAAAAGTAGAAGTACCAGAATACTCTGTTACAAGTAAAAGTCCTGCATTCAAAAGTTTTAGCACCAAAATATACTTATAGTACCAAAAGTAAAAGCACTCATTATGCACATTGGCCCATTTCAGATTTTAAAAAAAAAGATTGTATTCTAATTACTGATGCATTAAAGTGTTATCAAAGCTGGTAAAGGTGCAGCTAGTTTTAATAGCTTTGTATACTGCATGGTAGATTGTGAATTTACTCCAGGGGTAACTAAAGTCTGATTTAAGTGTTAATTAAGTAAATTAACTAAAGGTATTAAATAAATGTAGCGGGGTAAAAGTACACGATTTACCTTTGAATTGTACTAAGGGTACAAAGTAGCTAAACATTGAAAATACTCAAGTACCAGTCCTTTAACATTTTAAATAGTTACTAAACACCAACACACAATAAATTAGAAATAGCCTACAACTACAAAAAGTCAAAAATGATCATGGTAATAATCATAAAAATAGCTTCAGGACGAAAGTGAAAGTATCCTCCTCCCCTCCCCCTCCCCCTTGCGTAAGATTGCTGTTGGTCAGCATACACAGCACCCTGAGGTGGCATTACCTCTCTCCCAGCGAAGGAGCAGCTCGCACCCAGACAGACACAGCCATGGGGAAAATCTACCAGGTCGTGGTGCACGGATTTAAAGGTGAAATACTCATGATCGACATGTGCAACACGGAGGAGCAGTTCAAGAGCATGACCGTGATGCAGCTGAAGGAGAAGATAGCAGAGAGGCTTCCCGAGACCGCAGGTAATAGCCAGGAGGGGAAGTAACTAAGTACATTTAGTCAAGTACTCTTTTGAGAGACTTGTACTTTACTTGAGTATTTGAAAAAAAGTCCCCCAGTACAATTCAGAGGTAAATCATTCAATCCACTGCATGTATGTGGTACCTTTAGTTACTTTACAGATCTTTGATTAATGATGGGAAATATAATCAACGCTTAAATCAGACTTTAGTTCCACCTGGAGTAAATTCACAAGCTAGCCTTCAGTATACAAAGTCATTAAAACTATAGCTGCACCTTTACCTTTGATAACACTTTAATAATTATAATCACAACATGTCATATTATTCTATTCCTAATGAGTACTTTAAGTATATTTGATGTTAACTGTGTGTGTGTGCGTGTGTGTGTGTGTGTGTGTGTGTGTGTGTGTGTGTGTGTGTGTGTGTGTGTGTGTGTGTGTGTGTGTGTGTGTGTGTGTGTGTGTGTGTGTGTGTGTGTGTGTGTGTGTGTGTGTGTGTGTGTGTATGTGTGTGTGTACAGGAGTGGGGGCTCTGCGGCTGATCTTCACAGATAAGATGCTGGATGGAGACGACGGGCTGCTGAGTGAATATGGAATCCAGAACCAGTCCCACATCCACATGGTGGTGAAGGTTCCTGGAGGACTGACCGCTTGACAGAGACCTCCACCTTCTCCTGCTGCTGTTTACGCTCTACTGTGTGCTATATGTGTGCTATATGTCTTGCTCCTTTTATTGTTCCGATGTAAAAATGGTTTTTCTGTTCAAATAAAGACACGTTCTATCTAATTCCTTTTATTTCCTCATATCTTGTGTGCAGATATTGCCTAGTAGAGTGAAGACACATTAATGGGGTTCCCCAGGGGTCCCTGCAAGGGCTCTCGCAGTCTAGCAGTTATCCCATGTAAATCAGTTTATTTAAATACACATTAAATAATTACTTCACACATGGGGTGTGCTCATAGGTGTTTTGTAATACACAATGAATATGAATATTGTAAATGCATCCATGTAGGTGAGAAGAAGTACATGTACTCACTGTACTTTAGTACAATGTTGAGGTTTAACAAAATGCATCTCTAAAAATTAAACTAGTGGACTAACTCATTTTACAAAAAGTAAATCAGAACTTTGTTTTTCTACAACAGTAAAAATGTTTCTTGAAGCAACAATACTATATATTAATGTCACATATATAAATATAATCATCTGGTGCCATGTTTCTGCACAATGATTATTTTACTTTTTACACTTTAAGTACATTTAGCAGATACTGCTTTTGTAAGATTTTGAATGCAGTACTTTTACTCGCAATAAGTATTTTGACAATGGTGTATTAGTAGCTATACTTTTACTCGAGTAAAGCATATGGATACTTCTTTCAGCTCTGCATGTATGGTCTACAAAAAGAAACGTCTCCACCAGCAGCTGAATATGCTGCGTTCATCTCCTCCTGTAAAGCAAGGAGAGAAGACAAAGAGGAAAAGTGGTTTATGATTTATCTTAAGGTAAAATCAGTAAAGGCAAGGGCAAGTATATTTTATTTCCTTGCCAGTCATGTGAACCGTGTGTGTTCTCAAAATAACATTTGTCCGACACTCCCTGAATGCAGCAGAACATTTTTATTAGAAATAGAAAGAGAAAGTGATTTTCGAGACACATCGATGATAAACGGAGGAATGAACATTTGGTCTGCGGGAATGTCTGAAGGTAGGCTCATTATGTTCTGCTTTGTGTTCCTCTATGAAACTGGTGTGTTTGATTCATTGTCAACACTTAAATGTCAAATGATTTGCAGCTGGCAGTGTATGAGTGGACTGATACGATCGTCAAAAACGAATCAACATGGATTTATATAAATCCGGTCGGCAGTTTGTCTCCAACATGTGGTCCCCTCCTGGTAAGATATCGCTATGTGCCGTTTGTTTAGAGACTTACAATTTACATTCATAGCGTCATTTGCATTTTCCTCCAACAGCCATTAAGTACCATGGCTTGGAAAACCAAGGGTCAACATGTTACCTGAACAGTGTGCTGCAGGTGCTTTTTATGACCAAAGACTTCAGAGACGCTGTGGAAGGGTTTGTTACAAAGTCAACTTCATGCCATCAAATGCATTTCAACAGTATTGAGGGGGTATTCAGTGCACCTTTGTATCTCATCACCGCTGTTTTTTGACTTTGTGCAGGTACACCCGTGATAATCCTGACTCTGAGCATATCGATCTTCAACTTGAATCCCTGTTTGGTGACTTAAAAAGTTATCCAGCGTACACCTATAAGATCACAAAGAAGCTGGGCATCAACAATGGTACAGTATGATACCACACAGAGACACAGTGCCTTTAAAGGGGCTACCTATTTGGGAAATGTTATCCATTGTGTAGTATCCAATATCTAAGAATATAAATCAATAGCTCATTTTATTTAGTAAAATAAATACTCACTGATTTCTGCTCGTTTCCCCCTCAGTTTATGAACAGCAGGATGCTGCTGAGTACTTTGAGAAGATTTTAGCTAAGACCAGTGATGATGCATCGAAGGTAAATAACTCATTACCGAAATCTACTAGAATCTGTACATTACAAGAAAAATACTTCTTTGCAAGTATTTTTGTGCTTTCAGATTTTTCACGGACAGCTGACCCACAAGACCACATGTTCATCATGTGGTACCGAGACTGATGCTGCTGGGCCATTTTGGAATCTTCCTCTTGCATTGATGGCTTCCTGCGGTCAGAACTTTAGCGTGGTAAGCATCTGACAACCTGCACACTTCAAAGCATTTTTCTGTTGCGTGGAATTAACCTAATATGCCATCTTCCCTTAGACCACAAACCCATTAAACCGATAAGGAATGATGTCACAGAATTAACTTCAGACGCAAATGACACGAGTGCTTGTTTTTAGGTGAATGGCATTGAGAAGTATTTCAGAGAATCGTCTCTCAATGGAGAAAACCGGATGTACTGCGAGAAATGTGATGACAAGTCTGATGCCACTACTGTGAGTAATAATAACAACATGTTTTTTATTTATGTAGATCACATTACAGTCTACATACAGAGTTCATGGTTATAACTGCATTATAATACATGCTGGGGACCTGTTTCTTCAGAAATGTGTAATAAATCATCATCCAGAGGTTTTGATGCTGCTGCTGAAGAGGTTTGAGTTTGACTACTATTCTATGAGATATGTCAAAATCAACTGCACTGTGGACGTTCCCTGCACCCTACAGATACCAGAGGTATGTTTATAGTATATTTTACTTTTTCATCATGACATATTTTATTCCTGAGTCTCATGTCTGTCATGTTTTCCACTGATGATCAGAATCAGCCCTATGAACTGTATGCGATGGTGGAACATTTTGGAGATCTCAGTAGTGGACATTACATTGCCAAAATCAAACCTGAGGATGATGGGAGATGGCACAGCTTCAATGATAGATGTGTCACAGAGGTAAGAGCGATCACTTTAACTCGAGTGTTATCAAGACTTACATATAACAGTAAAAATAAATATAATTTCATGTTTGTTCTCAACAGGCCAACTGCAAGCCATTCCAGTTGGATCAGGTTGAGAAGTAAGTTTTAGTCTTTCTTTTCATTGCAATTATTTAGTACATGAACAGTTCCCTTCAGTATAAGTAATGTATTCCACCGCACTGTAACCGTAATGGCTGACCGAGGTTATTCTCCATCTTTACTGAATGGTAAAATAAAACTATTAGAAATGAATATAATATACCAATATCAATGTGTATTTTGCAACACCTACAGATCTATTCATATGGAGACCCTAAATGTACACACCAAAGCATTCCTCTGTTGATATTTACATTGTCTGATTGTATCAATGAACAACAGAAAGACCCTGTATAAAACACAAGCCAATTTTCTTGTTCTATTTAAAAATGACCTTTATCCCCACATTTCTCTCTCTAGATCCGACAGCGCTTATCTTCTGTTTTACAGGAAAAATAAAGGTAAGATAGCAAACATGTACCTCATGGTTACTGTTGTTCATATTGCTTGGTACTTAGCCTAATTTTGTTTTAAACTTATTTAACAGTACATGCTGCAGATACTCAAGACACCAGAGAGGAGTCTACTCAGTGTCAGGATGGGGTTGAGAAGACAGCAGGAGCAGGTTGTACCAATGCAGTGGATGTTTCCATCGACAACAATCTGGAAACAGGATTTAGCAACTATGTCAATGACGAGTGTAGACGATCATCTTACCTCTCTAGTTCAGAGGATCGGCCCATTGGAGGTTATAACAGTCCAAACATTCAACAGGAGTGTAATGAGGAAAGGAAAGACATGAGGTATCACCTTCAAGATGACAATGCAGAAAAACAGAGAGATAAGGGGGAAATGATAGCTTCAGATGAAGAAGCCATGACAGGTATTGCTGAGGCAGAGAACCAGACCAAAAAGACAGAAATCTTATCCAGAGAACTTGAAGAGAGTGTCGACGACCAGGGCAAGGACAGTGCAAGACCAGATGATGTTAGCCACAGGAAGTCACAGGAGGGTGATGACATACACAACACGTCATGTCACGACTATAAACAGGGAGTCAGCAACATGCATCCTCAAAATGTTGACATGCAAAAAGATGAGGAACAAATGGCCGTGGAAGGTCATGAGGATGGAAGGATAAAAGATGATGCACAGTCAGAAAGGAGAGGAATAGATTACCCCAACAGGTTTCCAGAGCATCAGTACCATGAAGAATTATATTATGTTAAACAAGACATGTATAAAGATAAGATGGGCACACAGGAAGTTGAAGGAAAGGATGTCCCCAAACCTGTTATTATAAGGTATTATAATGAAGACAAGGAAAGAACATCAGGGACAGGAAAGCTCTTGACCAAATATGACCTCTGCTATGAAAGAGTTGGTGATAGTAAACGGAGCAAATCTAAAATAAGCAGGTTGTATCAAAGCCCTGAGCAACAGAGAGAGGAAATGGATGTGAAGGGAGACTTGGAGCAAGAGAGAGGGGGTGATAAACAAGCACAAAGAAGAGAAACATCAGAGAGACACCAACACTTCGGTCAGGATCGAGACGATCATATCTATAGAAGATCAGATGCTGGACAGAGCAGTTCAGAGCATTTTGCACAAACAACACAAACAGATGTTCATGTGACGGAAACACAAGATGGAGATAGAATGGAAGGAAGGTTTGATTCAGAGAAAGCACTTCATCTTCACGAGAGAATCCCTGCTGAGGAAATAAGCAAGACCCATAGTGGGGATGAAAAAAGAAGTGAGAGGAGGAACATGATAGACGCTGGAGAAGGAACTTCACACGCACGCGTTAGTAGTTGTGTAGAATATGATCGGGGTCATTCTGAAAGACTCTCAGGTCCAAAAACAGATGCAAAGGTCACATTGCCAGAGAAAGTAAGCAAATTAAATCTGAAGGACTCCAGAACTAAAGGCATGTCTGTGGCACAAGAACAAGCTGTTGGAGTAAAACATGCAAAGAAAATAAAAGGTGTGAAGAAAATCAAATTAAGGCGAAGCTCTTCCCCACTGAAGCAAAAGGGAAGCAAGAAAAAGAAACGTACTTTTGGGTGTTTTTCCTTTTTCCGGAAAGGGCGGAAAAATGCAGACCAGACTTCAGAGTCAGATTAAACAAAATGCAGGACAACTCAAGTTGTTATTTTACAAGAGGGCACGTCGTTGGGGTGCTCCACTCGTTTGTGTTTTTTTATTGATGCTTATTGATAATCACAATATTGCAGTCTAATCACAAATAGTTAGCAATCAGACAGAATGGGAAGTGCTTTGATAAAGTAGATCTTTTAGTTTAAGTGTCTGATGGTAGAACGTTTTGGTTGTTTAGTGTGGTTTATTTTTCTTGTTTTGGATCATGATAAAACAATTAAATAATAAAGAGGATTGTTTTAGATCAAAGGGCTGATTTAGGTTAAATCTGTAATAGAAAATAACGTGAATTAACTAAAGAAAAGTCAAGAAAAGGAAAAACAAGTTATATGTTTCATTATAAATGTGTTTTTTGTTGCTCTTCTCAATTTCCCCAAATGTACAAATTATGCTTTGACAGAAATATTAATCTTTATTTCTAAAAATGTTTATTGTTCAGCGAAAATGGCAATCAATGTAATATCTAAGGTGTTTACAGACAAGAGATTCTATGAAGAAATACAATTCAAATGTACATTTGTAAATAAATTGTTGTCATTTGTAGGAATTGCTGATGATTTAAACAAATAAAACACATGTGAAAGACAAGCTTGTACATGCACTGTTTTTGTGGAAAGTTACAGGTTTTGATGCTGCAGAGATTCCCTCATATTGTCCCATATAGGCTTGACATTTATAAAACAATTGAGTAAAATCACTTTATTTTCTTCTTTAACAGGGAAACAAAACAAAAGAGAACTTCAGGAAGGTCAACAGAAGAGGGGTCTATTTAAGCCAACAGACATGCAAAATATAATACATAGATATTATGATATTGATTTTAAATTACCTTTAAAATGTCTTACCTTTTATAGAAATAATTGTATTTTCGTAAAATAAAGCTCTCATTTTGAAGGATTTTTTTTTACCAGAAGTGAAGGTCCAAGGAACAGCGTGAACACATGAATAACGACGGATAAGCGAGCAAATAATAACCAGTTATTTTGGTTGTTTAGCACCTGGCTGATAAGGGCACAATGTTCAGTCCAGTTTAATTTTATGTGGTTTATTTTGTAGTTTTACAGAGTTTTGTGTCCGTGCTTTTTTAAAGCCAATAGACATGCAAAAGACAATATGTAAATAATATTTTATTGATTATACTGTAATACAATACATATCTTTCTCCCAATATTCATTGTTTTTGGGGCAGAATCTTGTAACAATACTGTTTCTCACCCGAGATCATATGATACATATTGAACACTCTTTTATTCTTATTCACATTTTCCACACGTTTTCTTAAACCTTACTGTTAGTTTTGTTGATTTATTAAAGTATTTTTGTTTAGTTTTTTTGTTTGTGTACAAGGAATATAATTACATATTATTGATATTAAAATATATATATTTTTAAACAAACATGGGCGAAGCGTGAAGCTGCGCGCCGGGAGAATTGAGTCCCCCGTATTGCCGTAGCAGCTTCTCTTTTCCTCCAGCATGGCTGCCATCAGGAGCGGGGTGACTCCGGCTTGTTTAGCGAGATGTTTCCTGAGACAGAGTGGAAAACCGAGCCGGGGCAGCCATCCCCCTTCAGAAATATTGAACCACGTAAGTGTTGTTTACAGTTTCACACGTGGTGCTTCATCACTGCTCCTGAAACAAAGTCACAAACAGAGACTTTCCCCAAGCTAACTAGCTAGCCGGTTAGCATCCTCTGCACAGTTACCAATGTCTTCTGTGTGACTTTGACACTGACAGCCTCTCTAGTGAAGACAGTATCTCTTATATTTCATGCAAATGCACCAGGCTTTTACCAATAACAACGTAGGCAGGGTTGCTAAAATCACAATAATACTTGTGTAGGCCCAGCAGGAGTTTATTTACATTAATATGCAAGTATATGCTAGCAGGGCTCTGTTAGCAGCCGTTAGCTTTGTCAACAACTAGCAAAAACAATGCTGCTAAAGTACTGATGCTGATGCTAATGCTCCACATTTAGTATAACTATGTTCTAATATTGAAAACTGAATCTAAAATGTATAGTTCATACCCAGCTGATGTGTCCTGACCTGTAGGAATCAGCCAAAGGCCACCAGAGGTCGTTGAGATGTATAACTTATAATAGGTAATTATCATAGAGTTAATCTTAATGCTCAGATAATTTAATCCATTTCTCAAAGTGTAAATCCTTCATTGTGAACATATGATCTTGAGTGTTAAATTAATCTAATATTGTGTAAAAACATCTGTTTCAATTCATTATTGACCGAAGAAAGAGGATCAGTATACACAATCAGTATTCTTAATTCACAAAGCACTTAAAACAAATAATTATTGACGAAATGAAGGAAAATATACTGCAAAGACTCTAGTGCTTATTAATGATGCAATAATTCAAAAATAAAATAAAAAGCTTAAAGGAAAAGGTGATTTACAGATTCACAATTAAGGTTTTGTTACACTAAGCATTCATCTCTGGTTCTTCTCTGGATCAGGTCACCTTAATATACATTCAAATGTATCTGTAGTTTGCAGGTTTAAAACCCAAATTAATCATTATTGTTATTGCATTATCATTACACCTTCTTTTGTATATAATGTTTTTGTTCAAAATGCACCATAAAGGTCAATACAGTACATCGCTACCTTCCCCTGGATTTGCAAAGAAGTTCAAGAGGGGTGGATCATAACGTCTTGGAGGTTGTTTTGTAATCCGTTGATTTGGGTAATGCAAGAACCACTTCTCAGAACCCATTGCTAGCTTCATCAGACCCACAATGCATACATTCATAACCTAAAGGAATAATGGTTCTTCAAAACATATGTCTTTTAAATTTTGTGTCAAATTATCGCCAGATTTTTCTGCATTAATCAGAATGTATCCAGGTAGCGTTAGCGATTGCATCCAAGTAATGATATGACAGAGCCCTCATATGTGTCATCAGGTTTTAGTAGTTGTAGTAGTTTCTTAATGTGGCTGACACTTCCCTTCTCTTCTACTCAGCGGTTGCTCCAGAAGTCTCATCTGCACACAGTGTTTGAGAGCCGCAGTCCTGCTGCCAGGACTCTGCTGGGCCGCACACAGAACAGGAAGTTCCTCTGGGTGAACGCTGTGGCCGTCAGACACAACAGCTCACAGGTGAGACGGCACATGGTGAAGTATCTGTCAATCAGAAACAGCTGCACATCACTAACATCAAACTCATCCTCAGTCGAAAGCAAAAGGAAATAGTATTATATTCGTTTTTTAACCACAGAGTTAATAACACATTCGGATATATAGAGATGGCTTGTCTGGAGGAATAACCAGAATTTACAATATGGGTCTATTTTATTACCCTGTTGTGTACAGGGAAATATTAAGTACATTTTGAAATTGACCAAAGGCTCGAGTTCTGTATTTTGAATTTAGCAATTTCCACCTTCTTTAGCATGTTTTTATTCATTTAGACACATCATTGCTCACACACTGGACACCTGAGCACTTCATATTTATAATCAGTTTTTGTTCAGCCATTTTCTTTTGTTGCACTGGAGCCTTCTGTGTTTACAGTGATTCTATATTGAAATTATTGAGGTCTATCAATTATAAAAATATGTTTGTGGTCTGACTGAGATTTCAAAATGCAACAAATCCTCAAATTGAACAGCTGCTTGAAATCGTACCTTGTTTTTAATATTATCACCAGATCCCGCCCGAGGATGTAACCACGGCAACTTCTGAAGCCCTTCCTGTCTTGCAGTCCTCCCCCCTCATCACACAACCAATCACAGAACAGGTAGCTGAGACGACATGTGAAGTCAAATCAAAGGCCTTTAGTCACCTTCTAACTTTATCTGACTCCATTTTAATTGTTATTTTCAGATCCTGGTTGAAACTGTTTCCACGGCGGCACCATTAGTCAACACATCTCCTCCTCCAGTGTTGGATTCCTCCTCTGAGCTTCTGTCCGCTGACTCTGCCGTTGTTTTATCGCAGTCGTTCACTGAGCAGCTGGCTGATGTCGCGCCGACTGCAGCTGAGGTCCTGCAGGCGGTGGCGGCAGAACCCAGATTAGTGGAGCTGGGATTGTGCTCCTACACCCCGGTGGGGCTGGTCCAGAACCTGCTAGAGTTTGCTCACATGGATGTCGGTTTGCCCTGGTGGGGGGCCATTGTCGTAGGTGAGCAACACTAACAATCAGTCACTCAAGCGATTCAAACTACGTCTTTCAAGGCTTCAAGGCTTTTATTGTCATGTGTGCATAGCTACAGCGTAGTTATGACAATGACAACCGTAGGTCACAGGCTCCTCCAACAGTGCAACACAATAAGACAGATACAATAGTACAGGTACATAAAGTATAATAGAAACAGTGCAGAATAGTCTATATACAGTAATTGGAATATTGATATTTATGAGTTGCAAACAGATGAATGTTATGGATGTTGTTTCAGAAGTTCAGGTGTTTAATAGTCTTATGGCCTGTGGGATGAACCTGTCACTGAGTCTGGTGGTTTTAGACCTGATGCTGCGGTAAGTACGTCCACTGTATTTCCTGTGTCCTTTCTTACCATCCTCTTCTTCCTGTTATCCCTCCCTCTCCTTTAGGAACGGTGTTTGCTCGTCTGGCCGTGTTCCCGGTCATCGTGAAGGGCCAGAGGGAGGCGGCCAAGCTGAACAATGTTCTGCCCGAGCTGACCAAACTGAATACCAGGATGAGCGAGGCCAAAAGCAGTGGAAACAAATTTGACTGTAAAAAATCTTCTTCTTATAAGTCACAATAGAGATGTTTTTTATTTATTAGTTTGGGCATGTAGAACAAAATCTGGTTTTAGCTTCGTCATGACCTGTTGTTTGCATGTTACAGTTGCCAAGGCCTACTCTGACCTGAACTTGTTCCAGAAGAAGCACGATATCAACCCTCTCCGTGGATTCCTGGTACCTTTGATTCAGGTCAGTTTATGTCTTTATCCTGGTTATATCCATAAAGTATGTATAATTTGTCAAAGCAGACATCATTTTCACGTCTGTATTTCTATTCAGTTTACTTTTGTGGAAAGAAAATTGCATTTAGACGAAGACTTGTTGTTCACATAACTGTGGCATCTTCATATTTGTAAAAATATTGATGATATGGCTTAAAGGTCACCTATCATGCTATTTCTAGGCGATAGGTCTCAGATATATACAAATATATAAAAAACATGTCTATGAAGTGTTTTGCTCAAAATACCAAACAGATCACCCATTCTAGCCATGCCTCATATCCCTCTATTTCACTTCCTGTTTCAAAAGTGCTGATTTGGGTATAAAGCTTTAAAACAAAAAAATAGATTAATAAAAAGGAGGGGTCTGAGCTCATGCGGGACCCGACTGTCTAAACTAAATACTGCGGTGATGAAACGCCATATCATGGATTATCAAGGATTCTCTCTGAAACCGTTTGGAGCTCAAAGGCTTTCTCTCTTGCCGGTTATACCACAAGGTGAGTTCCTTTTTATTTCCTGCTTCTTCACACACACATGCTCTCCAGTACAGGTTAGCTCTGAGTGTTAGCGATGCTAATGTAAACACCGACCATATTACGTCCAAAACAGTCGGGCATTGTTTCTGATAGCAACTTTCTG